ATTTTTGTTATTTTCCGCCTGGTCCATTATACTCCTGCTATGAGTGAAACCATCCGGTATTTTTTCTTTCTCTTTCTGGCTTATCTCACTAAGCATGATCTTTTCCAGCTCTATCCAAGTTGCTGCAAAAGACATGTGTTTCTCTTTTTCGGTTGCTGAGTAATATTCCATTGTATATATGTACCACATCTTTTTTATCCAGTCATCTACTTTTGGGCATTTGGGCTGCTTCCATGTTTTTCCAATTGTAAATAAAGCAGCAATAAACATGGGGTACAAGTATCTTTTTCAATCAGTGTTTTTGTGTCTTTTGGGTAGATACCTAGGAGTGGGATTGCTGGGTCGTAGGGAAGCTCCATGTTTAACAGTTTGAGGAACCTCCAAACAGTTTTCCATAGTGGTTGTACTAGTTTGCATTCCCACCAGCAGTGTAGGAGAGTTCCTTTTTCTCCACATCCTCGCCAACATTTGTTCTTGTTAGTTGTTTGAAGATGTGCCATTCTCACTGGGGTGAGGTGGTATCTCATTGTCCTGTTAGATGCTGTAGATAATGAACTTGATTCATAACAAGGGTATTCACAGATATTGAATACCCTTGACATTTTTTTCCTTAAAAGATTACAGAATTATACATAAACCATCTGAGTTGGAAGATTAAAAAATCTAGCCTGAATGCTTGCTACAAATGCATCTTACAAGTGAAATTACTGAGGGGCCAAGAGTGGTTAAATGACTTGGTCAAGTTCAGTTCACTCATTAGTATTAATTTAAGTGACCCAAATTCCCTAATATTACATATTTCTTCCCTTCTAAAATACTCCTTGCTCCCATATTCAACTATAAATGTAAAACAGAAACAATTCCTAAGAGACAATTATTAACGTTTTATTGTTTCTGGCTCGTTCTGCCTAAAACATAGAACTATTTTTAACTATTTTATTTTAATTTCCATCCCCCAAAATTATGTGACTTCCTGCCAACTGAGACTGAAATAGCTACTTGCCATTCCTTTCCCATTCCAAGGATCATGTCCTCTAGCTTTTCATTCTTCTAACTATTATTAAGCAATACTCTCCCTTGTCCCCCAATGTACAAGACCTAGAGAAGCTCATGTAAACCTATAGAGAGCAGTTCTGTTCAAGGTCCCCAAGTGAGAGCAGGGATGCTGCCATTGTTTTGGGAATAGATGCTCAGGCAGCCGTGTCCATGCCTGGGACAATCCTCTCTGAGCAGGGACAGATCACCACCCCCACCACCACTGTTGATCTTTCCGGCGAAGGAGGCATGAGGAGGATCATATTTTAAGTCCCTCTGTTTAGCAAGTCTCTATTCTGCTAGGGGAAATCAGCCTGAATCCACATGAACCAAATAACATGGGGGAGTTTCATGATCATGAAGCCCACATAAAGCCTCAACTCATGCAAGGACTCTCAAGGGCTCTTTCTGGAACATTCTTCCCTTGGGGGCTCTTTCCTAGAAGTGTATTTCCAGCCTAAATGTCCTCTTCAAAGAGACCATCACTCACCACCTCAACTCCCAGGGGCCCGCCAATGCCCCTTTATCAAATCATACTGTTTTGATACTCATTGTCAGAAATGAGCTCATGATCTGTGCCTCACCAGAATGGCACCTCTGTGGAATCCATCCTTGCACATTTCTCTGTGCCCATCCTGGCTCGGAGCAGCCTCTTGGTGAGACTGAATGGGCATGTGTTCTTTCAGTACACCTGTGGGGCTGGATCAGCCCCTGGGTTTGAATATAGACTTCACTACTAACTAGTTGGGTGAATTTCAGCAAATGAGCATTTGAACTTAAACACTATGAACTTCCACTAGCCTAAGATAGGAATACATGTTTGCTCCGTTTTTTTACAGGTATCAAATGAGATAGATGTATGCATTGTGCTTACTTAGCCAGGGTCTGGCACTCAACGTCCATAATACACAATAATAACTATAGCCATGATGATAAAAGAGCACATCATAAAAGAGTCATAGAAGAGTTTTTAAATATAGATATTAATGCTGAAAGCAAGGTGTCCTCATTCAGCCTAGAAGTAATTGAAATGTGGCAATTTTTGCTGGCTGTCTAAAGTTATTTATTTTTATAAAGGATTCCTAATTTAACTTTTCAGCAGCTCCCTCTGATGATAAATCACCACTGAAACCCTCTTCCCCCAACCCCTCGGTATTCATTTAGAAAATGATTTCTTTCTGTGAATACTTGTGGCAATTTAAAAGTAGAATTTTATGCCTTTTCTGCTAATATGGACTGGCCTTGTTTTCCATTTGTGTATCTGGGAAGGTATTGGGTCCTCTTTCTTGTGCTACTGAATGGCTTTAGCTCAAGGTCTCAGACATTGAAAGATGCCTTGGTTCTCTCTTAGTGGATACTTTCATGTAAAACCCAAATGTCCCCACATTCCTGAGCAGATAGTTAAATCAGGAGAGCACTAAATAGCTTCTGGCTGTTGGCCACCGAGAGGACTTGTGGAAGGAAGATGGACTCCGTTGGCTAACACAGCCCAGTTTGTGCCCTCTCTCTCTCCCTTCCGTTTTCTTCCTCTTCCTTTCCCTTCACTACTTCCGGCTAGACTCAGCAACTGCGTCTGAGCCAGGTCAGCCAGAATCTATGTGTGAGGCACTGGGGGAAGAGGCTTAGTGGAATCCAGTGAGCAGCGGTTCCCCGGGCATCCTGTTGAAGTGGTTAAAGTAACTGACAGTAAAGAAAGATCTCTAAACAAGGAATATGAGTTTCATCTGCTTTCCCGATCCTTCAACCCTAACTCTGAAAATAGAAGAAAGAAAAAAGCCTTTCTGAAGACAAACTCCACTCTACGGTTTCTCTGGAAAGCCTTTCTGGCTTGGCCTCACTTCTAAGATGGTTCATGCACAGACTCCATAAGCTGAACACATCTTTTTCTAATGATGGCATCTACCTCTTATATTTTATTTTTTATTCAATCCCAAATTTTTGGGTAAAGATACAGAGGACCCTGGAACTGCAAATACATATAGATTCTACTTGAGGATTTAAGGCAGAGACTGAATCCAGACATTCATCCCTGGATTCTGTTGATTCATTCAGATATTACTTCCTAATGCCCTATAGTATGCTGGCAGGGAGTGAGAAGCTATAAGAAACCAGATTATGGACCAGGTATAGGCACTAGATAGGAAGGAGATGGCTCACAGATGTCCCCTATCCTCAGCTCTATAGAAAGGACTGCCAAAGTTTGGCCCTCAGTACAAGAAAAGGAATTTAAATGGGATGTCGAGTTTCTGTTACTTGCTGGCTCTGTAACCTACAAGTGTAATTAGGTTTTTACCACTGCAATTAGATATTATAATTGCTCGGATCAGGACCTACCTCCCCAGAATGCTGAGCAAGGGAGCTTAGGTGATTAGAGGCATGCATTTGGGGTGATGAGGCAGAGATGGGAGAGAGCTAAAGACAGCCTCAGTGATTGCTGAAGAATAAGGAAGTGGGTGGCACCTGGTGTTGCCAACTAATTGATGGCCCTCTCAAGGTTCCCCATCACTAGTGTGCAAACCAACCTTCTTCAAATGGAAGGAGCCACAGATAACATGGTAGGTAGGTTTCTATTGTTTTGTTTACCTGTGAAACCTGAAATGGGAATGGGGAATCCATAACCAATTTCTAGGAATGCACTTCCAAGTCAGTCCCTTAACACTGAGAGTTTGTTTCTCTCTAATACAAGATGTACCCAGTGTGCACAGGGGGACGCAAGTCATACTATTTGGGTCACTTAAGACATATTATCCAACTAAATGAAAACAGTAGATGCCTAAAGTTGCATGGGCAACACTACGCTCATGGGGCCTCTTGTGGCACCAAGGGGGGGCAGATTTAGGGGTGTGATGGTGACTTCCTATCTCAGCTATTATTCCTTCATCCTTTTAATGTTTAATTTTTTTTAAAGATTTATTTATTTGTGCATATAGAACTGGG